TGGGGCTGTTAAAGGTCGTATCGGGGCTTGGTAGGGTAACTGTGTGGAGGGACAGCTCTTGTTTTCATGTTGTAAGAGGAAGCACGTGGTATCTATAAGTAACCATTCACTTTCACTAACAAGATTGGGTATGAGCAGACAGGAAGAGGGGTTCGGAGGAGAGCCTGAGGAGCAGGGGGAGGCAGCCCAGAGTAAAGTGAGAGACAGGGCCAATGCCGACCTCGGCAAAACCTGCTATTGACGTTTTTAAGGCTGCTAGTACTAAGGGAGGGCTTTTCTGTAATGCACAGTGTGTATGCTCCTATTTTTTGGTTATCGTGGGTAGCAGGGCTCTTGAGGTGAAATGTAAAGGAACACAAAGAGGGCAGGAGATTTCCTACGGGGATTCTAGTGGGTGATTGCCAAGAAATGCTTAAGGAGATGATAGGAATTTGTTTGTGTGGTTAGCGGTGGAGAACGGGGGTGTGGAGTTGACATGGGGAAACCATTGCATAGGCAGGTGTGTAAAAGAGCAGCAGCCTGTTGGGATGAGATATCTGGGGTGTCTCTGTCGACTGTCTGGGAGGTAGAGGAGTTCTTCTAGGGGTACAGGTGTGGGCTGTTGAAGAAAATCTGGAGGTGTAGAGAAATGGGAGAGTTCATCCAGCTGTTCAGTAGGGCGGGATTGGCTGTGTAGTGGGATGAGGAGGGGGAAATGCATGGCCAGCAATCTCTGGCTAAGGAAAGGTTCGAGTTGGCTAAGAGGGAGTGGGTTAGGATGTTGGAGTTAATCACGGAGAGGTAGGGGGTAGCAGGAGAACCAGGAGCAATATTAAGAGTGAGTATAAAAGAAAAGAAGAGGACTTCATCAAGGTGGAAGAACTGGAGAGTTCCTTGTCACTGAAGATCAATCAACCACTCTAGAAGAGAGTCAAGGGTGCAGCCTGGGGATAAAATCACGAATATCAGCTGTAATTGCCTGAAGGAAATGTGTAAACCGGCAGTGTAAATAAAACAAGGCATTTAAGTTTCTTCAGAAATTCAAGTGAGCTTTAGAGACATTGGGGAGAGTACTTGCGACTTCCAAGAGGAGGCGGAGGAATCAGGCTGGCTGTCTGATGGGCACAGCTTCATCCTGGAGCGGTGAACCCACTGGTGTCCATCTCGCAGGCGGACAGCAGTTGGGGTGCTGTAGACGACCAGGAAGAGACCTGTCCACCGAGGCTGCAGAGACCGAGGGGTTAGGCTTTTAACTAGGACTGACCTTACGGCTACGTTGTTTTCATATGGCTGGGTATCTGGAGTGAGTAAGAGGAAATTAGCAGCCTGGCAGATTTCATGTCTGGCCTGCTGGAGGGCTGGAAGGTAGTCACCGAGAGGACTGGTGTCTGAAATGAGGTTAGGCCAAGCAGACAGGTGTGGCCATATAGGAGTTCAAAGGGGCTATGCCCTGTGGGTTCTTTAGAAGCGGCTGGAATCCTGAGTCCCTCTGCTGTGGATAACTCCAGCCTTGGCTGGGAGGTGAGTGGTCTTAAAGAGGGCCTTTATTAAGGGGACATTGATAACAGAGGACTCCTGTATGGTGAGAAAACCTCTTTCTGCCCATATGGCAGTATGGTGGTGTAGGATGTGGAAGGCGTATTTAGAGTCAGTTTAGATATTAACATGTAGTACTTTGGCAAGAGTAAAAGCAGAGGTTAAGGCAATTAGTTCAGCTTGCTGAGAAGTGGTGGAAGAGGGGAGTGTGGCAGCCTCGATAACCGATGAGTGACATCCAACAGCATAGCCAGCTTTGGCTGTGCCAACTGACTGGGCTCGGACGAACTGCCATCAGTAAATCATGTGTGGTCTGGGTCTGGAATAGGAAAAAGAGAACTGTAGGAAAATGGGGAGGATGCTACGTCGATTAGGGAGATACAGTCATGGGGCTCAGGGTGTATGTTAGGTATTAAGTGAGAGGCTGGGTTGAAGTCAGGACTGAGAGCAATGGTTCTTTTGGGTGTTTCAATGAATAGTGAACGGACTTGGAGGAAGCGAGGGGTGGAAAGTGTGTGTGTGAGGTGTGAAGAGGAAACTAAACTTCAGGGGTCGTGAGAGCCATAGAGGGTACGTGGGGCATAGCCTGTGACTTTGAGGGATTTTAAGAGTATCAGGGCAGCAGCTACTGCTGAGGGTAGGCATGGAGGCCAGCCCAAGTCTGTGAGGTTATATTTTTTGGATAAAAAGGCTACAGGCCATGGGCCTGGCTCCTGTGTAAGAATTCCGATGGCACGGCCTCTTATTTCTGCTGCGTAGAAAGAGAAGGGTTGAGAGGAGCTGGGGAGCGCTAAAGCAGGAGCAGTCTCTAAGGCCTTTTTTTGGAGAATGAAAGGAAGAAGCGGGGAGGGATTGTTGGTCTATGGGGTTAGATAGGTTTCCTTTTGTAAGTTTATAAAGTGGTTTGGTGAGGAGGGCAAAACCTGGTATCCAGAGGCGAAAGTGTTATACAATGCCTAGGAAGGTGCGAAGTTGTTTAGTGGATGAGGTTGGGGTTTGGGATATTAACTGGATATGATTGGCAGGGAGAGCACGTGTATGCTGGTGAACGATTATACCGAGATGAGTAACAAATGGGGAAGAAATTTGGGCATTAGAAAAAAGTGCTTTTGAGGTCAAGAACAGAATAGTGAGTTGTGGAAGTGGGTATGGAAGACAGGAGGGTGTAGGGGTTTAGCTCTACAGGACGGGTGGAGAGTACAACCTGACTGATGAGGCAGAGGTCTCAGACTAGCCTGCAGAATTTGTCTGGTTTTTCGACAGCCAGGATAGGGGAATTGAAGGAGCGTTTGTAGAAATTAATAGGCCATGTTGTAGTAAGCAAGTCATAGCAGGCTTTAGGTCTTTTAATGCTCGTGCTGGGATGGGATACTGGCGCTGGGTGGTGTAAGGGTGGTTAGGTTTTAATGAGATGGCAAAAGGTGAGTGAACAAGGGATGGGGAGGTGGTGTCCCACACCCTAGGGTTAAGGTAGCAGGACATAAGGGGAGCTATTAAGGGAGGTACAGGTTTGGGGAGGAGGGTGGCAATGAGGTGTGGCTGTAGGCCAGGAATAGTTAAGGAGGCAAACAATTTTGCTAGGATATCTTGGCCTAACGGGGGACCTGGACAAGTGGGGATGATTAGGAAAGAACGTGGAAAGGAGGGCTGGCCTAATTGACACTGGACTTGGGGAGTTTGGAGAGGCCTGGAAGCCTTGCTGTCAATTCCCACAGCAGTCATGGAGGCAAGGAGATGGGTCCTTGAAAAGAAGGCAGCGTGGAGTGGGTGGCCTCTGTGTTGACTAAGAAAGGGATGGACTGACCCTCCACTGTAAGAGTTAGCTGAAGCTCGGTGTCCTTCATGGTCTGGGGGCTTCCAAGGTTTTGGGAAAGCATCAATCTTCAGCCACTAAGCCAAGGAGATCAGGGAAAGAGTCAGCCTGAGGGCTACTGAGTTGGGCTCTTGGAGCCTTAGAGACAGTGTTTTGAGTCAGGTGGTCCAACTTCCCGTGGGGTCCCACACACGTGGGACACAGCTCAGGAGGAACCCAGGGCTGCAGCCACTCCTCCGCCCAGTGGCCATGCTTCCGACAATTGAAGCAAGGTCTGGGAGGGGTGGCTGGACACTGCAGTCTGGGCACATTTGAGTCTTTGTGAGCCCGTGGTGTGTCTGGGGTTTGTCTACAGCAGAGGCAGGCATCTATAGTTCTGAGATGGACTGCCGCTAGGCGGCTTCTTCCCTGTTATTGAATACCTTGAAGGTGCGGTCGATTAATTCCTGTTGTGGAGTTCGAGGGGCAGATACTAATTTCTGTAGCTTTTTTAATGTCAGGGGCTGATTGGGTGATAAAGTGCATATTAAGCATTTTTCAGGGGTGAGAGTAGAGGTAAGGATGATATTGAAGTGACTACAGGTAAGATTATAGGACTGGGTAAGTATTGGAGGATCTGATGAAAAGGAGCCTAACCACTGGCCAATTTGAGAAAGGCGGGATAAAGAGAAAGGAACGTGCACCCTAACTATGCCTTTGGCTCCAGCCACCTCTTGAAGGGGGAATTGTTGGGCAGGGGTGGAAGAGTCAGCTGGGGGACTCAACTGTGAGCTGGACCGGGGATGAGGTGAGGGCAGAGGAGGAGGAAGGAGGCTCTAGTGGGGGAGGGGTGGTATTAAGGCCTGGATTAGGGTCCGTTTCTGACATTCAGGAAGGAGAAAGTTCCAAAGGGTGGATGGATAAGGGGGATTATGGGTTGCCACCAGAGCAGGAGCGGCAGACGGAAGGGAGAGAAAGAAAATTCTGGACGGGTTGCATTGAGAGCAGAGATTATGGAGGGATTAGAATGTAAAAAAAAAAAATACCTGGACATCAGGCACCTGAGACCATTTGCCCGTTTATTGACAAAAGTTGTCTAGGTCTCATAGAATAGACAGATTTAAAGTGTCGTTTTCTGGCCATTTGGAAACATAGTCTAATTTGTATTGAGGCCAGACCATGTTATAGAAAAGAAAATGAGATGCTTAAGTTTCAGATAGGGCAAGAATTGAAGAGATTTTAGGTTTTTTTAGGATGCAGGCTAGAGGAGAAGACAGAGGAATAGAGGGCAGAATATTGCCCACAGCAAAGGGGATAAATTTCAAGGAAAGGAGTAGAGGAGAGAGTAGGAGACAGTGAGCAAAACTACCAGGGTTTTCAGTGGACGTCCCTGACTGACTCCTGGGTTATAACGTGGGTGAGTGATCAAGGCAGGCTTCTCCGCCATTAACCAGATTGACCAGATACCAAGGGAAGACTGTCTTCCCCAGTCCTTGACTGACATCGAAGTTCTTGAGAGAGTGGGAGAGATTTGTCTCCTATGTCTCTACATGGATAAAGAGTGTCTCCTTTGTCTCTACTAGAAGGAGAAAGATTTAAAGGAAAAGAGAGAGGGAGAGAGGGGGAGACTTGTCTCCTTTTCTTTAAGGGCAGTGGGATAGGACCTGGATTTATAGGTTTGGGGTAGGCAGTGGAAAGTTATAGAAGTTACACTTTAGGGCGGTTTTTGCAAGCTGGGAGGGGTTTGTAGGGTCAGGAGGTCTCATGAGATTGACCAAGGTCAATTACAAAGTCCAATTGCCCTATCAATTGAGACAGGAATAAAGCACAATAGAGAATGTCTCAAAGTTAATTAGGCACCACAGGGGTTGGTCATTTCTTCTCCTTTTGTGGTTTTTCAGTTCCTTCACACATTCCAGTTCCAGGAGGCCATCCAGAGATGCACCTGCAGGTCACGGGTTGCCATGGCTTGACTTAGGGTATGGCATGTCGTGAAGCCAGTTAGCCTAAAAGACCTTGCAGGAATTACAATTCGAGATGAGATTTTGAGTGGAGACACAGCCAAAGCGTATTGCCCTTTAAGGTTCATATCTCAATTATGAGGGAGAAGTAAGTTTAATCTGATTTCTTCAATCTGCTTCAGAAGTATACAATGATGGCGGAGGTACACAATGATGGGCGTGTATCAGGATAGGCAATGTGTGTGTGATTACGTGTGAAATTGCCAACTACATACTTAACTCAGAAAACTCTTTAGTCTTCAACAATAAACTCAACATATTATGCTGAGGAGGAAAATAATGTGAAAGTCTTTATTAAGGGAAATGACCAAAACTGTGATTAATTTTTTATGTATTGTGGCAGATGGATGAATCAGTTAGCAATAGCTATGTGACAAACCATTCAAAACTGCAAGGCTCAAACAGGTATTTACTTATAACATTGTAGGTTTTTGTGGGCATGTCTGCTGATAAAAACCTGTCTTAGCTGGTCTTGGCTGGGCTTGCTCAAGACTCTTGGGTCAGCTGACGGGTCAGGTTTGGACAAGATGATTTGGAATAACCATAGCTGGATCATTGAGGATGACCTCATTTCTGTTGCATATATTCTCCCATCTTCCAGAAGATTAGTCTGAATTTATTCTCATTCTGGAGGAGGGTACAAAGAGGAAGAGAAAGAGTGTAAAGAAGAATGTAATGCTTCTTAAAAGCTAGCTCAGAACCACATTTACCATTACTTCTGACAAATTATACTAGCCAGTAAAATTCACACAGCAAGCTTAGATTCAAAACAGCATGTAAAAAGAAAAAAACTCCAACTCTTGAAGTGAGGAGCTACAAAATTACATTTCCAATGGTGCAGAAACTAGAAGGAATAATGAATTGGTAGGCTGACATGGTACAGCCTCAGTCAACCAAATTGAGGTCTTAGCAGCAAGGAAATACTTGCTGCTTTAATACAATTCTTTATGTTCCAACTAGTTTGGTTGCCAAGTAACTTGATGTGTGGGATGAAACATACTATTTTTATTTCAACTTTAGTTTTGTTGTTGTTGTTGCTTTTCATTTGTAAAGCAAGCAGGTGAGGTAGATCCTACTTTATGTTTTCAAACAAAATCCTTTTCACTCCAGAGATTCTTCCATAACTCTTTGGGAGCTGAGGTGGGAGTGGAGCCTTCTTTTTCCTTTCTTCTCGAAAGTCATTGACTTAAATAACTCTAATTTCTTCCCACCCTCCCTCCCTCCCTCCCTCCCTCCTCCCTCCCTCCCTTGGTTCCTTCCTTCTCTCTCTTGAGCCACACAAATGTTAAAAAAACTGTTTCTTCAATAAGAAATTAATGTAAATCTTAAACTTTTCTACTTTATAACCTTTTTATTGCCTAACTTTTTTGACTCTTACAACTCTTAGATTAAAACGCAAACACATTGTACAACTGTTAAATATATTTTCTTTCTTTATATCCTTATTTTATACTTTAACTTTTATTTTTAAAATTTTGTTAAAAATTAGGACACAAACACACACATTAGCTTAAGTTTACAGAATATCAGGATATTCTATGTAACGGTCTTCCACCTCCAAATGTTGTCTCATTGGAAGGTCTTTAAGGACGGTGACATGATTATTAAAGAGAGGGAGAGAGAGAGAGAGAGAAAGAAATTTCCAGTTGCAACTACATGTAGTTGCTGATGGAAATGCAAAATGGCGCAGCCACTTTGGAACACAGGTTTATAGTTTCTTTTAAAATTACACATACACTCACCATATAGCCAAACAATTTCACTTCTAGATATTTACCTTAGAGAAATAAAAACTTACATTCCCACAAAAACCCATTTGCAAGTATTTAGAGCAGCTTTACTCATAATTGTCAAAAACTGGAAACAACTCAAATTTCCTTCAACCAATGAATGGCTAATCAAGCTGATACATATGTAAAATGGAATGCTACTTAACTATAAAAACTAAACTTCTGATACACAGAACAACATGCATGAATTGCAAATGTATTTTGCTAAGTGAAGGAAGCCAGATCCAAAAGTCTACATATATTGTATGATTTCATTTACAGAAAATTCTGGAAAAGGCAACATTATAGGGACGGAAATCAGTGTTTGGCAATTGCCGGAAGGTAGTGGCAGTGGGAGGGGTTGACTAGAAAAGGATGGGGGAAGTTGGAAAGGATGATGAAAACCTTCTATATCTTAGCTATGTTAGTCTTCATAAAAACTGGATATGTTGTTCAACATTCACAAAGCTGTACGCTTTTCAAAAATCAAGGTACTATACTGCTTTTGAAGCAAGAGCTTATAAAATTTCCAGGTTAACATTTATGGTCTCACTCTGTACTTTTCTAAATTTCTTTTTAATTAATCAGTGGATCTTATTTAGCACTCTCTTTGCTATTTAAATTAAAGTCAGGATGTTTGATATATAAACATTTGAGGCTGAATAAATTAGAGACTTCTAAAAACCAGTATGGATTTGTTATGAAGATTTTTGAATAACATAGTTTGTTCATAATAGAAATTTAAAATTAAACATGGCATGTGCTCACCATGTTCTAAGTAAAATGAATAAAAAAGATACCTACCTATTTAATTACAAAGACAAAGAAATTATAATGAGCACTGGGAAGTGAGAAATAAAACTAGGGCTGCTTTGTGATAATAAAATATTTTTAGAATATGAAAAAAAATTATCTACAAACTATAGATAAAAATAAAGATTGTACTTTAATAATTGTATGTAAAATGGGATAGGTAAAGGTATGTTTCTTATGGAGAAAAATTTGAAAAACCAAAAAGTAATAAAACATAAGGTTTAGAGCATTTTTCATGTAAAAGATGGAAATTTGGAGAAACTGGGGGCTCATTTGTACATTTGCAAGTTAAAGGCATTAGAGTTGACTACATCCAAGAACAAGGTAATATATAAACACAAGAGAAAATAAGTATAAGTAAAGGATCTTGAGGATCTTGGAGAGAAATACATTTGTGTGTTTGTGTGTGTGTGTGCGTGTGTGTGTATAGGCATAGGTAAAGGAAAAAACAATGTGGCTAAAGAAGAAAAATGACAGTTGGGGTAATGAAAATATATTCAACTAAATATGAAAAATAATATGCTTATATTCCATTTTTTACTTAATGCTTCTAAACGCATATGGGAAAATCAGGTGACAGAGTGTTAGTGACTAGTAAATAGCAGATGTACGAATGGAAGTTGTCTTTGTGTTACCCAAAATTTTATCTTGTCTTTTTAACATCATTTTTCCAAGATAAATGATGCATGGTTGGTGTTTTATTATATTTGTTTATCAACAGATTCCTCATCGACAGTTGGAAAAAAAATAGTTTACATGCCATAATCTAAATAATAGTGGAGATGTTATTTTTTATTAGAAGTAGAAAATTAAATATATGTAATAGTTTTAGTTCTTAACCACAATTACCTATTTTCTCCTCAAATATTCAAATATTTACCTGCCTCTCAGTTCCAATTTACACAACAGCAACAACAAGCAATCCTCTCATCTTGTGTCATATGACTACTTAGAGAAATACAGACACTTCTTAAACTTCTGTGCTATTTAAAGAATATCATCTCCTCAACCTTCCACCTCCCTCTCCTGTGAGCTAGTGGATTAAGATGAATGACAGATTTGTTGGGGTGTAAAACAATTTTTCAAGGATCCAGATTCATGAATCATTCATGTATTCTCAATATTTTAAATACATAAAAGAATGAGTAAGGGATACAAATAGCTTGGTGAGCTTGGTTCTATATTTCTGGTTACAGAGCAAGAGAGAAGGTATTCATTTTAGGTAAAATACGTCACTAATAGCATGTCAGGTCTATTGAGGCAATTAAATATAACAAACTCCAGACTACTAATCCCACTGCCCACATCCTACCTTTTGGGAAATTGAATAGAAAAAAAAGATATTTTCTTTTAGTGATCTTTCACTTTAACAAATGTTAATTCAATCTTTCAATAAGGAAAGCTTACACACGTCCTAGTCTTTGATCCTCCCTGATTGTTAATTTTCATCAGAAAATAATCTTAAATTTAATCTAATATGAATGTAAAATAATCTATTTGGCAATAAAGAAAAAAGTTTAAAAAATAATTTCATGAATTTTACAATTGGCATGAAGCAAGTAGAACACATATTGATGAAGAAATTTGACATAAAATCCAGTGCATAGGAATGCATAAAAGCAACAGATTTAGAACTGAAATATAATATATACAGTTATTTCTCTAAAATTTTTCTATTCCTTACAGAAGCAATTATATAGTGACCATAAGTTGAGTATCAGGTGATTACATTTTTTTAAAATTGTACTTTAAGTTATGGGGTACATGTGCAGATCTTGCAAGATTGTTGCCTAAGTACACACGTGCCATGGTGGTTTGCTGTCTCCATCCCCCGTCACCTACATCAGGCATTTCTCCCAGTATTATCCCTCCCCAACTTCCCAGCCCCCTGCTTTCCCTCCTCTAGTCACCCACTCCCCAACGTAACCCAATGTCTGATGTTCCCCTCCCCGTGTCTATGTTTTCTCATTGTTCAACACCCACATATGAGAGAGAACATGTGGTGTTTGGTTTTGTGTTCTTATGTCAGTTTGCTGAGAATGATGGTTTCCAGATTCATCCATGTCTCTACAAAGGACACAAACTCATCGTTTTTTATGACTGCATAGTATTCCGTGGTGTATATGTGCCAAATTTTCTTTGTCCAGTCTATCATTAAAGGGCATTTGGGTTGGTTCCAGGTCTTTGCTATAGTAAACAGTGTCACAATGAACATACTTGTGCATGTGCCTTTATAATAGAACAATTTATAATCCTTTGGGTAGGTACTCAGTAATGGGATTGCTGGTTCAAACAGAATTTCTATTTATAGATCCTTGAGGAGTTGCCACACTGTCTTCCACAATGGTTGAACTAATTTACACTTCCACCAACAATGTAAAAATGTCCCTATTTCTCCACATA